CCACCCACAGTGTACACAATTACAATACCATAGCCACCCACAGTGTATACAATTACAATACCATAGCCAGGCACAGTGTACACAATTACCAGCACTTGGGAAGTACAGCAAGGCCATCAGGTGCTCAAGGTCATCTGAGGAAACATTGTGAGTTCTAGGCTATCCTGGGCTACATGAGACACTGTCTCAATTCCTACTAAAACATCATTTCTTAATGCCAGAGGGTTATTCATATTCTATTTATTATTCACTTATATTTGTATCCTAACATCTATGTGAACTAGTCTTCTTTGTTGGATTATTGATCTGAAGGTTGGGAAGGAAAAGATTTGTAACTCATGTTCTCTGACACAGGTCTACAATAGGAGACAGTTTCCAACCCTTAGGTACTTTCCAAATGCTGTGTGTTGAACCTGCTGCCTGGGGAAGCCCAGTCTGATGGTGTCTTCTAAATGGAGGGAGAAAACCGTGTAATGTGTGCAGTCATGACTCACTCAGGATCGCATGCTTCATTGATAATGTTTCAAGTTTTATTAGTGGATAAAGAGACCCCAGAGCTGGGCATAGTGGTGCATACCTTTAATACCTTTAATTCCAGCACTGGAGAGGCAGAGGCAGGGGGATCTCTCTGAGTTTGAGGACAGCCTGGTCTACAGAGTGAGACATCCAAGGCTACATAAGGAAATCATGTCCCCCAAAATCAAGTATATAGAGATATAGATGATAGATAGATAGACAGACACAAACACACACACACACTATGAACATCCAAGCAGCCCTCACTACCCTGCCCGTCTCCTTACACACACACACACACACACACTATGAACATCCAAGCAGCCCTCACTACCCTGCCCGTCTCCTTATACACACACACACACTATGAACATCCAAGCAGCCCTCACTACCCTGCCCGTCTCCTTACACACATACACACACACACACACACACGCACACACAACTATAAACATCCTAGAAGCCTGACTACCCTGCCCGTCTCCTCCCCCCACCTTAAAGCACAGAGGCACACACCTCCTGGTGCCACTTTCTAGATGCGTTAAGGGTTTTTTTGCCATTATTTATTTACTTACTTGCTTACTGACAATTTCATACTCATATACAACGCATGTGAAAATATGCAACACCCCCATTACCCTCTCTTGTCCTCTCCCGCTCTCCCTGAACCCCTTCTTCGTGATCTGTCGTGTTTCTCACCTGTCCCTCAGTTCAATTAATGTTGTTTGTGAGCTGGGGCAGATGGTGGGGCAGATGGACAACTCACCAGTGACCACACTACTGTAGAAATGACACTGCCTCCCTCTGTCACCACTAACTGCCAATAATAGCTACTCAGGAAGGGGTGGAGCCTCATGGATACCACCCCTTAATGACCTGGTGAAGGGCCCAGTCCTGCGAAGTCCTTAAACAGGCCCCCATAGCTGCTACATGTTCATGGTTGCCACATCCACATCATATCTGGACGACAGTGTTTTATGGCACTCATGAATTTTAGTTTTTTATAGATTTTAGTTCTTTATAGAGTCATGCCCGGCAGGCCATTCCCAAAAGGGTAAGCTGGTTTGTTTTGTTTCATTTATTTCCCATCAAGGCTCGCAGAAAATTATTCCAAAGCCAGTGGTTGTACTTCTGCCCAGGGAGGCACTTTCATAGTAACAATGTAATTGACAGCCCTTCTTTCCTCTTCCTCCCTCCCCTCACTCCTGTCCAGGTACAGAGCAGTGGCTTCCTGGAGTCGTGTTCAAGGAATTGGAATCCCCTTGATTACTGCCATTGAAATTGTCTCCATCTGGATCCTTTCCTTTATCTTGGCCATCCCAGAAGCAATCGGCTTTGTCATGGTACCCTTTGAATACAAGGGCGAGCTGCACAGGACCTGCATGCTCAACGCCACGTCCAAGTTCATGGAGGTACTGATCTGTGCACAATTCGCTAACCATACCAAGTTCAACATTTTGATCTAAAAATGGGCTGAAGCTCAAAATGAGTTAGTTGAGGAGGTGGTACTGTGTCCTTTACTGTCTTGAAGCTGCTATCTCCACAGGCGTGCCAACTGCCTGCAAGGTGATCCTGACCTGGGTACAGCTTCCTGAATAGAGCTACTCTGTTATTGTATAGAGCAACTATAGACAAAATTGGTTTTCTGCATCAAAAAGTTACAAGGCAACTATAGAGGTAGTTATAGACTACCTCTATACATGCAAATGTAATTTGCTTTTATGATTAAGAGAGACATGCATGACAGTCCTTCTGCATAGATGTTACTTGAGGAAATACAGCTGGCTAGTTATTCTTCTGAACACGAATCTTATTTGCCCTAAAATTATTTCACAGAACATTTCTCTAGCAAAGCGGGCAGAATGCATGCCCTGTGAAGAATCATTGTACATACATGAAACTAGAGGTTCTGATCTAGAAGCAAATTCAGTAAAGAATTAGAGATCCAGATTCCTAGGAGCTGGGCTTGTTCACTGCACGTATGCAGCAGTGTTTCCTAGGAGCTGGGCTTGCTCACTGC